CTCAGAAGTGTTCAGCAAACTCCATCTACCTAGCATTTTTCTGCAAAGGGTCCATCTCTTTCCTCTTCCCTGGACCAGTCTAAAACTCACGAACTTAAAAACCCAACTGTTTTTCCTCTCCACGCTCCGCCAACCTCAGTACTTCACCTCTGACACCAGATGTGGGCTTTTCCCACACACCAATTCTCCAGTGCACGCCCCCTGAGCATCCCCTAATGCAGTCCCATCTGACACCATCTGCCTGGAGACAGCGCCAGATGCCACAACTTAAGGGCTCAGTCCCACAAGAATGCCCCCGTGTCAGAGACCAGTCGCAAGTCCCAGGTTGTAACTGTGAAGCAGGTTCACCACAGACCTGTTATCAGCCTGTTTAGATCCAGTGTGACACAACAACCCGACGTCCAACAAATCTATGAAGCTGTGTTTTTACTTGTAGCAAGAAGGCATTCAATCTCAGTTTGACGGAGGAATAAGAGTTGGGAAACTCCCACCCAAACGCATAGGCAGCAATGGACAACAGAAGGCTGCTTGGGGTGGATGGAATCTTAGCTGCGCATGCCCTGCTTGTACTGCAGCTGCGGGGCTGTGCAGACAGCGCACCCAGGGTTTCATACTTTGGGGGAACCATAACATGCTGGGCTAGAGTGTTGAAGAACATCTTGTTCCCGGGGAGGGACTGGACAGAGCCGGGGTTGTGATGGCCAGTCCCTCCGTGTCCCCCCATGTCAGGACGTTGCATCCTAGCACATTCTACATTTATTTTTGAGAACTGCAAGTGAGAAAAGAGGGAGGCCTGTCCTGCACTAACCTGTGCTTCTGAGGAACTGCCTATCAGCTGAGGGTTCCCATGATCATCGCCCTAAGTTGTTGTCTGTATCATATAACTTCTGCATGAAAAATTCCCTTTTATATTTTTGGTAGCACAAGTATGTAATTATAAATTCTCTCTATTGTTCATCTGAAAACATTTTTCCCTGTATTTTTTCAGAAGTGCTTTTGCTGGATGTAGAATTCTGAAAGATTTCTTTCCTTTGAATACTTTAAACATGTCACTCCATTATTTTTTGGCTTGCACAGTTTCCAATGAGAAGTCTGCTCTAATCCCTTTTTTTCTATGCAATGTCGTTTTCCTCTGGCTGCCGTCAATATTTTCTCAGTGTGTGTCTAAATGTGTATGTTGTTGTTGCTGTCGTCGTTGTTGGTGGTGTTGTTGTTGAATCCCGCTTGGGGATTTCCAAGCTCTTGGACTGTGCGTTGATGTTTTTCGTTAGTTTTGGAAAATTCTCAGCCATTATCTCTTCAAATATTTTCTTCTGCTTGATCTGTCTTCTCTTTCTGGGATTCTAGTTATGCATATGTTGGACTATTAGATATTATCTCTCAGTTCTTTGATTCCCTGGGGTTTTTTTTTTTTTCCACTGACTTTTCTCGTTTTAAGTTGGGTAATTTTTATTGACCTGTCTTCAGCTGCACTCATTCATTCCTTAGCTGTATCAGATCTACTGATGAATCCATTAGAGGCATTTCTAATTTCTATTACTATTTTTCTTTTTCATCTCTAACATTTCTATTTGCTTCTTTCTCATAGTTTCTACCTCTCTGCTGAAACTATCCATCTGTTCATGGAAGTATTCCACGTAGTTTTTTTAAAATCCCAGTCTGTTAGTCTAACACCTAGGTTATCTCTGAATCTGGTTCTGTTGATTGTATTGTTTGTCTCTCTCTCTCACTCTAAGAGATGCTATTTCACCATAATACCATGGCTAGGGTGCAGATGGTTGTTCATAGGTGCAATTACAGTGCACTACAGCCTTGAACTCACAGGTTCAAGCAATCCTCCTGCATCAGCCTCCTAAGTAGCTGGGACTACAGGCATGCACCACTGTGCCCAACTGCTTTGTCTCTTGTTAATAGGTTTTGCTTCCTTCATAAGGTTTGTGATTTTGAATTCAATACTTGACATCATGGGTAAGTGAGTTGAAACTGAAGTAAGTAGTATCCGTGACAGAAAATGGACATATCTTTTCTTCTGCTGCTACACTGATTTTATGTGTGTACGTGTGTGTGTGTGTGTGTGTGTGAGTATTTAGAGTGTGGTGATGGAGGAATAGTTTTGTTGTTGCTATGGCTATCTTGAATGCACCATCTGCTTCGAATGCATCCAGTGCTACCTTGTGCTGGTTCTAGTGTGCTTGTGTAAGGGCTGGCTTTCCGAAGGATTTTCTTACTGTCTTGTTCCACTCTCAGCTTTAGGCCCTTTCTGTTCACCTGCTTTTACCAGAGGGTTGCTCTGCATGCTTTGCTCTCTCCCCCAGCAGTACATTTCTGTTACCTGGGACTTGCTAACTCCATGGTAGCAGCCAGGAATGCCTTCTCTTGTCGTGATCCAGCCTCCACCTTATGTAGGACCTTCATTTCTTGCTGT